GTGAAGTTATTCATTAAATGGTCGACGCATCTTCACAGTAACGAGATAAATGGGTGATCCCTTTAACAGATTCACCGTATGTCATTGAGTTTTGAGAAAGAAAACATTTCGCATGGGTTGCGCAAATAATTGTTATAGAAATCAGTAACAAATTGAAATATAAGTAATAAGGTATAATACTTGATAATTCTTGACAGGAGTTGGTATAGTAATCAAATCTACTATTATGTCATTTATTGGATTAATCACTGGACCAAATCGTGTCTATAATCGATATCATAAGTAAAATTTAAAATGTTATATTTCTTTTCTTGAAGTACGCAAATGTCATTGTTTGTATTGTTTGTAAAATGTGTGTATCTTATGTATGACTCTCCAATTTGTGTATCCTTAATAAACTTCAAAGCTAAAACTTTTCATAATGAACGCTTCTATTCATGATGAAATATTGTCTACTCTTCCATGATATTGGGGCAACTGTTTTGAGAATCCTAGTTAATTGTTCAGGGTTAATGATATTGAGTTAAATCTATGACTGTCTATGAGTGTGGATATTTTTTTTTCATTTTTCATATAAAAAGGGTGCCCTTCTTATAGTGTATTATAAATTATTCAACAACATTAGCTTGTACTTTATCTGTTTTTTTTAGGGTAAAATGACAATATGAAATATGTCTTTTATTAATAATTGATATCTAACTGAATGGTTGCTGAGCAAACGTAAGATACATAAAGATTTATAGGCTTCGTATTGAAGGTTAACTCAAAGAAAATATATTCATTTTGTGAACATATTTTACTCAAATTGAGTGGTTCTCTCTTTGATGCATTGGATAAAAATGCCTGTACATTTGTTTTGTGTTTGTACTATTGTAATAAAATATATGACAGTGTCTTTCCCCACAATATATCAATAATAATGATGATAATGCAGAGGCACTTGGTGTAAATCTTTGATGTATATATTTTTTATTAATAAGCTTTAAAATAAAATCTAGTCTAGTGTCCGAGAAATTGATCTTTTTGGTGAAAATATAATTTGTTACGTCGTATAGTTCGATGTTTCAAGATATGTTAATACGTTTTATTCTGAGACAAAGTTATGATTCTGAAAATTACAAATGTAACTTTAAAAGGTTTAGAAAACGAACAATGATCGAGCTCGAAAAAACCTACCAAAATGCAAATCTGTGAACAGGGCATAAAACCGGAATTTCCGGAGGTGGGATCGGGTGCCTAGGAAGTGTAAGCATCCCCTGTAACATCCACCATGAGTCCTTTGTATTAATCAGGTAGACGGAATATTCCGTAAACAAAGGCCTATAACAATTGGTATGAAATGTGTCAGACAAAATACGACCAAATGATACATGTAGGTTATATTTGATAACAAGCTTTTTATAACGACTATAGAATTTACGAAAGTATTACTTTAAAACGAGGTTGTTGACATCCCTTTAACATCACTCTGCCTCGGTTAATAAATATTGATCGTACTCATAGCATGCTTTTGAGTACTGAATAAGTTCGGAGGTCTTAACACCATAAATATGCCGGTGATAGCGGAATATTGCTACATAAATGAGGAAAGTTGACAATGGAAAAGCTCAAGTCATCTCGTTTGTATTACATTTTAGTTGTTAGTTGGCCCTTATCGTCTATAGACAGTGAAGCATCCAAATATGGAACAGATGTGGTGTCTTTTATTTCGAGTTCCTTGGGGGATATCGAGTAGACATATGAATGAATTTAACTACTTGTATTGCTAGTTGAAAAATAACGTCGTCGATATATATGATTTTTTTAAATCTTCACTTTTTTTCATTTTAGATGTTAAATATATGTAAGGGAGATATTTGACAATGTAAGGAAGATAGAGCAGACCATAACGAACTCTAAACAGGTTGTCTACAAACTAAGCTACCTGATCACCGGCGACTAAACCGCTTGACCACCACCTTTCCTTCAATTTGTTACATTTGTTGCCGTTGCCCCTTGGACTTACAGGTGAAAGTTCCGTCAGGGGCAAAAGAATTTTTGGCTGGGGGGGGGGGACAAAACGAAGGAGAAATTTGACGACCAGGCAGTCTCGATCACCAATGGCCAGATAGATCTGTTAATTGGTAGAGCACGTGCCTAGAGTTCAGCGGCTTGGTCTTGAATCCTGGACGGTCGGTCGTATTTTCTATATTCACGCTATGCAAATTATAAAATTTTAGACTTCATTCCAAAAATATTATATTGCAGTTTGACGACCTCGAAATCTAAAAGGAATGCTTAAAGGGGCCTGGGCACAAGTGCATTGTTTACAATTTTAAATGTCTATTTTCATTAAAAAAATAATTTCATTTTAATTATTTGAACTTATATAAATATTCTAAGAATTCAATGACAACGACACTCTACATAACCACGTCAAACAGCTGTGATTGTAAACATGTCATCAACTGTGTTATTGTTAGTGTTTACGTTGTACCGGGTGTGTTCAATTTGTTTAGTATGACAATTCTGGTGAGTTGGTTTTGCTTTCTCGCATTTCTACTCTGAAATTTTTGGATTAATGTTTTCCTATTTTACATTAATACACAACAAAATTTATACTTTTTCTAAGTTTTATGGATAAAGGTTAATTTGTGAAAGTGCAAGGATATATTATGTCAATCAAACGTGTCCCGAAAATTGTAGTTTTTTTAATTTCCAGATAAAGTTTCTAAACACACTTTAAAATATTTCGGTGTGAAATGTTTAGCAATATATAAAACCTGATATTATTTTTTTTCTTTAGAAAATATGAGCTTCAAATCTGTGTCCCCGCCCCTTTAAATATCCTCACATCTCTGATATCCGAAATAAATACCCAAATGAATTTGCTACTCAGTAACATGGTTGTTCAACAAGTTTTAGTCACTTGTTGGAAAGGGTGTAATATCACTCGAGTAGTTTCGTTAAAATCATCCATGAAATATTTCTTTCTAACTTGCGAGAGTACATACATCAACAGTATTAGCGTATCCAATCTAAACCAAAATAAGATTGATTGATTGGTTGTATGTTGTCAAGGGGCGTCAGTTTTTAAGATCTCATGATCATACGAAGTACCCGCAAATTTCACTTCAAAGAGCTGAGCGCTTGGCTAAGAAACAGTTGCTACCTATATTTTATCGACTTTGATCAGTCGCGGCTGTGATTCGAACACACGACCATCCAACCACGGAGCGAGCGCTCTACCGACTGAGCTAAAACCAAATAAGTATTTACTCTCAAAAGCAATTTTTATGTACTATTACCCCTTTTGCCTGAAAACCCTAGTTGGCCGCTTCTTGATATACCGTTCAATCTGGAAATAATCAGTAAATAAATGTTCTCTTTGTCTTAGCAATCATTTAGTTAAAATAGATACAAACACGGAAGATTAAAGTTAAAATAGATACAAACACGGAAGATATCACAAATCCGGAAAGATCATTGTAGTATTTAGAAATATTTTCAGTTCATAAGAACATGGAAAGAAAATCGTAAGTCACATAACTTTGACATTTACTTCATTCACATTCATCCTATCCCTCATGAAAATACCATGATACAATTAGTAAATGATTATAAAAAAAGTCACAACAAAATTTATATACCAAACAATTCTGTCAAATTTAAAGAATAACGTTATGGCACATAAGAACAAAGTTAACAAAAATTCCTTATTGTAAACAATATTACATGTACAACGGACGGTAAAACATATCTATGTGTTGCAATATAATGCCACGAATGAAAAGATGAACAGGTTGACTTGTAAATTTTCTTTCGATTTAGTGCAATCGATTGGGTGCTTCAACTTTGGCTAAAAGTTTATTTTCTGTACCTCATGTGATATATATACGGAAGCCCATTTAGGACCTATCAAAAAATGTTTTTGAATTTGATATAACGAATTGTCGAATTCGTTATAACGAATTTAATCTGTTACAATAAATTTATTGAATTCATTATAACGAATTGAAAAATTTGTTATAACGAATTGAATTCGTTAAAATGAATTCTAAAATTTGATATAACAAATTAAATTCGTTTAAACAAATTCTAAAATTTGTAATATATTTTGTTGAATATATTGTCTTCGAATAGAATGTTTTACGTATCATTTCATTCTTTATACATGTATATCTGTCAGCATATATCTTTGTAAAGGTCATGTAATTGTTACACACTATGCATTCTGAAAGTAAAGGAATCCCTAATTTTATAACTTTTACTATCGACAACACAGAACAAAAGAAATCTATTTTTTTCGTCAGGATTGCTAGTCTTTTTAGAGTGATATAATCATTATAGGAATTAGTAAGCTAAGTTCACCTTCTTAAGATTTAAAGCTGATCAAAGCATTACCCCTAGGTGAACGCAAGATTTTGCTCAATCAAGCTAAGTCACAGTGATGGTGGTGGGAAGGGGGCGGGATGGCGGTTAACGCGCGATCCTAATGTTCGCTACTCGCGTTCTGGATTTATCTAATTCAGGTAACAGCGAATAATGTCTCATAGACACTAATATTTGCACAAATTCAAACATCAGCGAAAGGGAAAAATAAGCGAAATTATACATCCGCTCATTTAAAACCCCTTGCTGTAAATTAGATAATAATTAATGAATTATAGTTTGCATTATTTGTATGTTAAATGGCAATATCTTCAAAAAATATCTGAAGTGTTTTGATATTTACAGCTATAAATATAAGCATGTTCCTAACTAGAAGACATATGAACTGTATGTCATTGAACAAATCAGCTTCCTGTATACAGTAACTACAAAGGTTAAGATATAATTACATTCCAGAAAATATGTATTTTAAAAAAACTTAAAAAAAAAAAGACGTATCTATCAGAAACAATAGTGAGAAAACGAAGTTTTATAATCACTCACAAACACATACAGATAAATTTAAGTGTATAAACACAATCGATCAAGCAAATGAAATTACTGAAAAAATTCATTATTGGCATAAACAATATAATGAACACATATTTACTGACAAGTGTAAAAATCAAAGAAAATATAGTACATATCTGCTTATTGTTTCTAAGAAATGAAAATATAACATCATTTACATTCGGACTTTTACGATGTAAGAATTCGATTACCTCATTATTTCTTTTCATCAATTAATAATGAGATCTAAATCAACTTGATAGGTGGTTATTCCTTTGCTTTGTTGCATGTTTAACCTCCTTTAAGTATGCATTTTAGTCATGTGGTACCCATCGCAAACCTTATATAATGAAATTTCTTTGAAGTAATTAGAATAAGCTCATATTCTCTGCTCAGGTCCCCACCGTATTCGCTTTCATTTCCCCTTAACACTCACATATCTTAAATTAATACAACTGCGCACAGGAAATGAACGGATTGAGAATAATCCAGGAAACCTAAGATAATCCCGGAATACCGAAAATGTCTTTGGAACCCAGATCAAAAATTTACTGGCTTAACTGAGTTAAAAATATCCCTCATTTTTTATCATTTGGATTTATTGGGTAGATTTTCGTTCATAATTATTTTCCAATGACAAACGTGTGCATCATTTCACTAAGCCAACATAGCTTAATAGGCATCCTGTCATCTTCTTCTTGCAATTGCTTTTCGCTAAATTGGTGAAAAAGGCTCCAAAAAGTATGGAGCACAAAAAGTCCTTAACAAATTTATCCTATTGTTTGATAAAAATTCATTGTTAAACAAAATAATCTAAATATTCTTTTGAGTTAACAACCATTATCCTTGTTCATTAATTTCACAATTGAAATTGGAGGACAAAATTGTTTTGGAATGAACACATCTTTAAATAAGATTTTCTTTGGAGAAGTATATTAATAGTTAATAAATATTTAGACAGTGGTAGACCTTTGGAATAAAAGGAATACAATTAATATATAGGTACATGTACATGATGCAATACACTTTAAAGGTAGTTCCTATTGATAAGAAATTCTCGATAATAGAAAGTCAAAAAAGTCATCCCATTTTAAATGCCCTTCATTATCTTTTCATGCATCATATTTACCAATGACGTATAAGGTTAAGTTGTACGTAGAAAATTAATGCTTTATGCAATAATTTCCATCATTTCTTTGGCAAAGCTTTGGAATAAAAGAAATGCATTATATTAATTGCCTGTTGCAATACACTTTAAAGATGGTAAGCATTTATATTTACAAGATATTCTCGACAAAGCTTATTAGAAAGTAACAAAGGAAAGGTCATTCCTAAAAAAAATGCCAGCAATTCTTCGTTTTATTCCTGCATCATTCTCACCAATGACTTTAATTGTTAAGTTGTACGTGGAAAATTGATACCCAATGCGATAATCTCTGTCATTTGTTTGGCAATCCTCCTCCTTATATCAGACTATACTTTCTGCTTCAGAGTGTAGATATCTCTCTAAAGGCTATTTTCACGTCGGATACGTGAGATGGACTTCGGAGAATAATGTTGGTTTACACGTTTACAGACACATTACGCCATGGTATTTTTGTCCATCGACAAAATGCTATCACTTACTTTCCTGTTCACTACCGCTTCTTTCTTCTATATCGGAGGGAATTGTCCTCGGTAATATAACCATGGGGATTGAATTTTTATATTCGGACACGTGAGACATGGAGACTATTTCTGTTCCACCATTCCCATTTTCGTCCTGACATTCACCTACACGTGTTTGAATACATCGGTCCACCATGTCAGATGCATTGCTATTTCCCTCCACGTGGAGTTGAGCACAAGGGCAGTAAGTACTGACAAACGGAAATGTTCGCCGAAACGCTTTCCGGAATCCGTCGTTGAGAAAAGCGTACACAAATGGGTTTACAATCGAATTTGCGTACGATAAAGTGTGACTGATCATTTTGAGCACATATACGGGAGTTGTTTTAGGGAAGTGTGGGTTAAATATACGAATTAATTGAAATACGTGCACTGGAAGCCAGCATACTGCAAACAATAGAACCACAATAAACACCATCCGGGTAACTTTCCCTCTGCGCCGCGTTTGCGATCTTCTGGACAAAGGAATACTGCTGTTTAAATCATCCTATAAATCAATTAAAAAGATAACGATTATTAAGATAAAAAAACCCAAACATTTCATTACATATGGATTCAAAACCACAATTTGAAGTAAATGAATTATGTTGGAGTAAGGTATTTCGGACAACTTCTAAAAATTCATTGTACAAAAACCAGCAACATAAACAATAGACTATTTTAAACACAGCCATATTGTGTGAAAACAAATCTAAAAACTAACATTAACTGATTTATTGACAGTCGTACAACTGAATCTCTAATTCATCAATATATGATATAACCACACCCTATTGCAGTTGCAATACACCTTTAAGATGAGCAATAATGTTTCTGAAAATCGTAAAATTAAGAAATTCATTGTTCTAGAAGGAGATGATTGAATAGGTGCAGTCGGTGATGTGTTTATTTTAGAGTATGAAGCACGGTTTTCTATGTTTTGTTTTTCTTTACGCTTGTCCTTTTTTTTTTTGTTTTTGTTTTTGTTTGTTTGTTTGTTTGTTTGTTTTTTTTTTGCTGTAGTTTTGATTTTCTTTCCTTGGGATTCTTTTAAATAATATCTATTTATATAACAATGTTAATCCACTTAAAACTTTGTTTTCTATACTTAAGCATGTGCCAAATAGACGGTAACTCTATTTGTTCAACTATAACAAAACATTTTGTAAAAGGAGAGACATATGTTCAAAATGTTGAAATATGTAACAGGGAAGCGCAATTAAATGAAATATTCTAGTTAACCCTCAAACCATCATTGATGCATATTTTTCGTTACCAGAATTTTTTTTGCTGTATGACCAAGAATCACCAAGTACCTTTTATAAATTTATTTATCAAAGTTAGTCAAATGTATGCTCTTTTATTTGAGAGAGAGAGAGAGAGAGAGAGAGAGAGAGAGAGAGAGAGAGAGAGAGAGAGAGAGAGAGAGATAGAGAGAGAGAGAGAGAACTATTTCACTTTTACTTGTAAAATGAAATTGTAACTTAAAGGTACATAAATGTATATAACAAAACAAAGCTATCACAATCTACAATTGTTTTGATTAGTAAGTTTAAATTCCAAAATTACCTAAAACTTTCTTGCAAAGATAGATATGCTCGGTTAAATGAAGCATTCAAGGCCAAGTTGCAAGTCTAAATTACAGATAAGCATTCGATGTTGTTTATAAACAAATCAATTGAAATATAGCAAAGAAGAAAGTTTACGCATATTAATTATGGATTATAAGCATGAAAAATTCTATTCTAAAGAGAAGACAAAGTTTTTGAAAGGGAAAATCTTTTGTTAAGCTAATTATAGATATATTATTATAATTTTGATAAATGATTTTTTTTGATAATCTTGGAGAGTATTTTCCAATCTCTCTATCATGGTAAAACAAAAATTGCTAGGATGGGTTATATTGCAAATTTGTAATCAAAGATGATCCAAAAATAGTTGCTAATTAAAGATATGTCAGTATAATTTTTCCTTCAATTTTGTATAAAGCGGAAGATAAAACCTGTGAATATGAATCCAGATTACATTTTCATTAAAAAAAACCAAACTGGCCCAAAGGTCTAGTCTTAAAGCTTTTTGTTAATGCACAGGGCTAACATAATTCAAGCCAATAAATCAATATTTAAAAAAGCAAAGAAAAGTAAACAAAAATGCTACATGCCTGTGGAATATTGAGAAAAATCACCTCAGTTTTTATACTGGGCATATAGGTGTGTCTCTTCCTGGACCATAGGTTACGCAGAATCTGGGTGTAGCAGACAATTATTATCCCCAGGGGATTAACGTAGGTAGTGAAAATAACAATGAGGGAGACCAGTTTGTCTTTTTCCTCATCCCCCCAGTCTGGGACACAGTAGAGTTTGTTGTGCAGAACGTCTTTTTGTTCTTTGTGGTACATGGCAAATGGAATTGATATCAGAAAGGAAACTGAAAGAAAAAAAGAGAAAAATATGTGTAAAATATAAAGCAACTTTCTTTTTTTTAGCTATATCGGAGATAAAAAAAAAAACTGAAAGGATAATAACAATATGATGTATAACTTTTCTGCAACTTTAAAGCCTATTCAGAAAGGACACAGGGAAAAAAAGAGAAAGATTTCTCAAAATCGTTTTCAAAAAAGCAACTTTCTCTTTTTTTGGCAATATTTGATAAGAAACACTCCATAAGTATATACTGCAGTATGAAATATGAAGATAATGAACAGTAATTAGCTCAAAAGTCCATTGAAACAATACAAATTTAGAGCAGAGCAAACACAGACCTCTACAAACATCAGATGGCGATCAAGTGCCATGGAGGAGTAAGCATCCCCTGTCGATCAGTATCAATGGCTTTTCAAATGTTACACCAAACGAAACCTTTTTTAAACTAAAATAACTAGGTGAGGATATGATGAATACTTGGTTTCCATGCAAAATAGGATTCATTGCTATCTTCAGTACTAAGTACATTGTACTATCAAGGTACAATGTAAGAAAGGTCACATGGCTTTGCAATGGTGTGTATGCTGTAAAATCAAATCAATATTTTCCCTCTTTTTCACCGTAACAGAACTTAAAACTCTATGTTTTTAACTAAAAAAATAACCACCTTTCATATTCATATTCAATTCTGTTCAATTTTATTTTTTTGGAGGAAAATTGTAAAAAAAAAAAAAAAAAAAAAAAAAAAAAAAAAAAAAAAAACTAGTATAAGTTGTAGAGTTTGTTTTCTTGTTTCTATTACTTTGATTATCAACAAATGATATAAATATTTGCAATACTCTTTAATTATGGTATTTTCAATAAAACGTCTTTTTTCAGAGGAAAATAGCAGAAATATTTCATAGTTTAAAAATTCATGTTTAAGGATGTCCGCCTTAATTCTTTCAAAATGCATGTGTATGTGTTTAGTATGGAAGGGTATTAGTGACAACTAATATATACGAGGGTTGATCCAAAAGTTCGTGGAATTTCATTCTAAAATTTTATTGTGACGTGATTTAAGCAAACAAAAGACATTTCTATATAAGAGCCATTATGCAACAATACTGGAAAATTTCATAACATTCCAAATACCATTAAGGTCACACGAGCTTTCTTAACATGGACAGTTGTAAAATTCGGGGGAGCCTTTCACATAACGTCAAGTTAGGTATGTCACGTCACGTTCTAGGAGCATCTCATCCTCACGTTCAAATCGACTTTGAATTTATAATGAACATTATGTTTTTCTCTCCATTTCTGCCTTCGAGGAAAGCCTGGGTACCCATCTCGCACCCACTTTCTTCAACTTACGATCATTATTCGAATCTGCCGTTCCATATAATGTTCCGATTTCAGTAGCAATGTCAAACACAGTGTATTGTCGGTCCACGCCCATTAAGCCTCTAAATTTGTCTACGAGGAAGGACGACTTTCCAATAGGCGGCTAGACCTTTCACCATCATCGGAAGTTCTATTTTCCTTAAATTTCTTATGCCCTTTGAAATCCAGTTGCTTATTGTACATTTGTTTAGTCTGTATCATAAGTATATGCGTCTGAGTCCGAGTGTACCCAAGAGTTTCGCAAAACTTATCATTTGACCGAATTTCGTCTTTGTCTAACGATGTCATGATGACCAACAAATCATCAGTAGAAAAAAACTAAATATCCAGTAAAATCGACAAAACTTTCATACAAAGTTTTGTAAGAGTTCAAGCAATCGTAATTATGACATCATTTTTATTTTCATTTGACACTTAGCGATTTTTTGCCCAGTGAGTATCAAGAATTGTAACGATAATTAACAAATAAATGTCTCCCCTGCATTTTCAAACATCCGTTTCTATGGCAACTGCCAAAGAGTTACTATCATGAATTTTTAAAATATTTTTTATTAACAAAATTCAACAAGTGAATATATTTTCACCTGCAATTTTTAATGACTTCCATTAACCTGCAATTTTTAATGACTTCCATTAAAAAATAAATAAAATATTTTAAAAAATTCCACGAACTTTTGGGTCAACCCTCGTATATATATATATAAAAATTGGTAATTCAGACTTAAATGTTGCATGGCTTTTCCACATTTAATCTTGGCTTTTTCAACTTTGATATTAGCTTTTCCAACTTAAGAGTTGGCTTTTATAACCTAAAATTTGTCTTTTCCATATAACCATAATTTCTTGAAAAAGAAAAGAAAAGCAACCCTCTGTTTTTGTGTTAAATATACGAAATAAAAGGTATTGCAATAATATTCATACAGACATTTTAGACTTTAAGGATTTTTTTCTTACCAAAACTTAAAATACTATCAATCAGAATCTATTTACATAAAATGCTTTATCAAGTCTATAGTAATGTTTTAACATCAGCAGCTAAAATCAATATTTCAAACTCTTTCTTAGTGCAACAAGGTGAAGTTTAACTAGCTTTCACTAATAAGAAACAACGTAATTTGATTCTTTATCTTAATATATATTAGATAAATATACTTCATGAAAAACTTACAAAACTTTCAAGTGCGCAACTCTTTAATTAATTGTTATTACTTTTTTATTACTTTCACATACTTTAAATATTAATATGTATACCTGTAACGTGTACATTAAAAAGATTTATTACATTTACTCAGATAACTTTACTTCTTGTGTATAAAATTTGTGAATTTTTGAGCAGCAAATATTACGCTTTGCTTTCCCCCTTCCTATCCTCGCCCTCATATTTATAATAACATGCACTATTACCATCAACTCCACATTTGTCTTGAATTTTATTCTAGCATGTCAATGTGACATTATCTACCTATTGAAATCTTCTGCCTTTCTGCTAACAAATTTATCGCTTCTACTGCATAAGTTTCATGCAGGTGCTAAAGAGTTAAGTGATTTAAGGCAATTCAATTCCACCATGGCCACCACAACCATTAACTGGCTGATTACCATTGTGTATAATTGATCACTTCTTTTTTCCAAATATCTGCATAGAATGTGAAGATACCAAACAGTAATCGGGCTCAAAAGTCCAATTAAACAATATTAATTGTGAGTAGAGAAAAACTGGACAATTGCCAAGAATTGGGGCCATAGAGGAGTAAGCATCCCCTGTAAACCGGTAACATTCCATAGTACCACGGGTCGGCACATTGATTTTTTGGTTTTCTGTCTTTAAAATAAATACTCACATAATTCTTTTTATTCTCTCTCTTAAAGATTTGCAAATTCCGTTATATCCTGCTGCATCTTGTTAATCCGTAGAGACTTTTAATGACTGAATTTCATGCAGCTTTTAAGGCATCAACATGCACCTCCATTAGAATATAAAAAGGAAACTGGGGAATAAGAAGACCCAACTTCTGATAAAAATAGATCCCCAAATGTATTTTGTTAGAAGATTGCTTCTTTTTAATTCTTTCAATTAAACAGAGGAATATGATTACCATCAAATCAGATTGCAATAAAAGAAAGTGTTTTAGAACTATCTAATAATACATCTTGCTAATCAGCGTGACATTCCTTAAACGCTTAAAATATGAAGTTTTGCGTAAAGGCATACATAAGACCGTTTTATCAAATTCAAATTTAATTAAGTGTCATTTTTATTTCTCTGAAGGGAGTTCCCCAGAATAGTCATGCAACGTAACAATTGATTTTACTTGCAAAATCCATGATTTTTATCATAATAAAATTCACATCAAATACAGCGGAGGCGAACTTCCATTTTTTAAGACCAAAAAATTGTCGATAGAAGGCGGAAGTTGAAACAGGAATAAAGAATTTAGTATTTTATTAATCAATGTATAATTTGTATTTCTTTTAAACAAAAAGCTATATAATTATCCTAATGTATTTGTCTTCATTCATCTTTGCGATGCACTTACGAACTAGCGAAGCAAGACATTACGGAACACATTAAAACCTTAAATCTGCATTATTTTTAAAAAATATATATTTTTCACATTAAATGCAAAAATATTTAAATCAAAGAAAATGAAGTTGGGAAAAGTGATCCCCACTCATTATTTTTTCATATAATTTCTGTTTGTTTATCCACTGATAGACACATTGCTCTTTGAAACTGTTTAATGTTCTTTAACTTACAGTTATTTTACAAATACTGATCACAGGATGCTTTGAAGGACGACATCTAATCTAAGGTTCTTGAAAAATTTGGTTCAAAGAGAATATAATATATTTTTCAAATATAAAACAAAATTAATTCGTGGTGCGCTGACGTTTCTTGTGCCTTATTCTGTCTTTTCCCATAAATTCCAATCAACCTAGATGGTGGATTTCCGGTGATAGACCTTGCGAGTCAACAGGAGTGGATGTTGTGCGGATGTCTACGCAGCCTAAATTCAATTCCAAAAATATATATGATCATTTTTTTTGTTACCCAACGCCATCCCTATGAAGATTGAACTGTTTTCTTCGTTTCAGGTTTTCTTTTTTCGTCAAATTATTTTCATTTATATTGTTATTTCTTGGTTTTGGAATTGAATTGGTGGTTTTGCATGACTCATTTTTAAATCATTTCCGATTTTATATACAGTGTATATTGTTTGTGATGAGAGCATGTAACATTGATTCCCACGATATATGCTTGTATTTTAGATGTAGCGGTTTGCGTACGCCATTTTTGATGGTATCCCATCCTATATATTATTTGTAACTACTCTATTGATGGTTTATTCCATATACTATATGCACGTTTTTTGTACTCATTGATTAAATCATTATTGTTGTAATAAATAACCATATTCACATTTTATGTCATAGATATACAATATAATTTTTACACATAAAAAGACGCTCAATCCTTAAATTAAAAACTCAGTAATCAAAACAAGAGAAAAAAATCCAAACAAAATTAACACCTTTTTATGATTCCTGGCATTACAGTACATGCACCTTACTACAAACAAAAACACAGGCACAGATTTACCTGCCCAGACCATCATACTAACGATAGTGGATGTCCGACGAGAACGCCAGTTCATTGAGCTCACTGCGTTAACAATCGCATGGTACCTGTCTATTGTCAAAGCGGTCAAGGTAAAGCACGTGGCATGGAGTGTCACCTGAAATTGTAATAATTTCTATAAAACAGCAGAAAAAGTAAGTTTTACATGTACCTATATGTATGTGACACTTAAGTGGTTTTATGGATATATTCTTGAGCATTTCTGAGACTTTTAAAATCAAAATTCAATTTTAAAGAAAAGATCAATTCTAAAAATCACAGGAAGCATACGTGCATTACACTTAATATTGCCCAAACAAATGAAGTTTGATCAAGAGAAATGGAAACTATTTATTTTGCATTGTGATTCCTAGAAATTTTCAATGAAGAACAATCCTCTGTTACAGTTTTTTCAGTTGTTCCGATAAATCCATTTAAGGTGGGCGTTATACCTTAAATGGATTTAACTGAACAATTGAATGGAAATTCTGTGTCAGTCTGACATTCTGCAGTTTGACAATGTACAGACACATTTTATAGCAACTTTAATGTATGTTTCCTTTACGTTAGTCTCACTAGTTTGAACGTTCTTTTAGTATTTACACTAAAATATGTTAAAACGCAAGGTTATCTATAATAAATTAAATTATAGTAAAATATCAAGCGAATTTGCCGCAAAAATTCTGGATACCTCCAAAAGAGAAGTTACGAAAAGCCGTGGATACTTACGTAAATGCTACTACAGGTTTTCTGAACTATTTGTGATACAATTCTGATTTAGCTAATCATTGCTACCGTCTACCGGAAGTACACCTTTAGTATTTATATAGGAAGTAGATATACTAAATTGTAATATTATTATTTTAGCATTTGTACTAATATCCCATAAAATCCCAGGTTGCCTATACAAAAGGACTACATCATATAATGACCAATATCTGCCCCAAAATTAAACTTTGGTGGAGAAATATATGTTCGCAAACTTGAAAGCAAGTCTTATTTTCATCATCCGTGAAGCCAAACGTTACATATCGTTACATATGACGTCAAAGGGATGACTTTGATTCGAAATTTCAATGATTTTGAGAATTTTGAAATTAAACAAATTTTTTTCATGTTGTCCTCTTTTTTTCCTCTTTTTTTGAAAATATAGGCATATTCAAATGGTTTATGACGTCACAGAAAAAAATGCTGATAATCTACTTAAAATTAAAATAATGTTTGTTAAACCAGATTTTTCATACATTATACCCGAGTATATATTTGTGTAGATTTGAGATTTTCGAAATTCGTGTTTTATGGGGGCAAAACATTATTTTACCGTATATAGTCATGTAGCAGTGTACATTGTGACTGAGCTAAAATAAAAGATATTTCAAAAATATCAGTGACAAAATATCTTGAAGGCTTACTGAATGCCTGAAATGCTAACCGCATGCTAATTTAATAACTACTAATCGATTAGTAGAGCTCTTTTGTCTGAACCTGTTTGTGTATTTTCACATTTAACTAGACAAAGTATCTAAGATTGACATTTTTCCCTTCAGTTTTATTGTTGAATAAATAGATTTTGGTTTGAAATATTGGCTAGAGTAAGAAATGTTAAATTCATATTCATAATCATTTTCAATATTTGGGCTTTTTTTCTTGAAGAGATGTTTTCCAATACAACCACTAACAGAAATTCCTTCCAGAGTTTTCATTTCGTTTGACAAAATTGCATATTAGAATAATACATAAAAGCCTAAATTCCTGCGATCTAACGAACATTTTCTGATGACTTCGAGGTTCCTGAACTTGAAAATCCCTCATGTGTAATAAGGTTGACAACCTGTCATCCAATACCAACTTAAGCATATCAAAGGCTACCATTAGAGGAGAAGAATTCTTGACCTATCTGTTAGAATATGTATGATGTATTAAAAAGTGTTCGTTCCTTTAAGCCGCTTACTCAGTGCCCATAGGCAGCCAGAAAAAAGTATTAAATCAGTTCTCATCTCTTGGGACTGGATTTTCTAGGAATGAGTATTTTTCTAAATAAACATTTCAGATATATCTCTATTTTGATTTCACATTTTTATAATTTTGTTGTTGAGACAATTTGCAATGTTTACTTTCAGACGCAAGATATTATGGATATTTTTTAGATGCAGAATGAATATATATTTATTAAAGTTTGTTTTCATCTAAAAATTTGTCTTTATATCATTCTAATACACTGAGTACCTTTATAAATAACACATATATTAATATATTTGTATCTTTCTTTATTGCAAGTAATTGTTTTGATAACAAATAAAACAGAACAGCATTTTAAAAATTTGCTATTGTTTATTTTTTTTTTATATAGATTTTGCTAAGTGTTAGATATTTACAAAATTTAAATGTTTTAAATTAAAATGATTTATATCCATTACCAATGCCATATATTTAAGGTTGCCCATAATGATATTGATCAAGAAATAGACTTTTTTTTTTGCAAATACCATGCTAGGGTTGCCTAAGTCAGTGAACGTCATTTTTTTTTGTTTTATATATGAAAAACAAGGGTCGTTGATCTTTGAAATTATGCAGAAATATCAGGAAACATAAGTTCACAAAGAAAAAAATGCCAACCACGCTGAACGAATTTATTGACAAGCGCAGCAGGTTCATCTTTGTTAAAGCCGAGAAGCACTATGTATTCATTTTCATATCTATCCATAATATTGGCATGAATGACTTTATGACTTGTAGAACAGTCAAAATGAACAAATATTATTGTACATTTCTCTGACATCTTTGAAGAACTGGTCTTTTTGCATAAATATTATAAAACATAAAATCAAACTTACAGAGTAATATGCTCTCATAATGATTTTCACACAGTTATCAATTATGTCTACAACCTCATCAGAACATTTACAAAATACAGTTTACAACTGAAAGTAGTTCCCCTTCTTTAAAAATTATCATTTAGACTGACCTAATTAAACATTATTCATCTTAAACTTGAAATGAACCCTGACTTTCACAAGATCGAGGATGTGCATTTGCCTTTAGTTTTGTTTCAGAAAGTAACAATTAAGATCCTTAAGAACCCATGTGTTAAGAGTGGATACTAGTTGTCTAGTTTTTGCTAATGAACGTATTATGTTTTAATTAGAAACAGATTCCGTAACATTCAGCAAAGTTTGTTAAAATAACATCGGAATGCCGTCGCACAATTTAGACAAAAACAAATTATAAATGCACAGAGTGAACTCAGAATGAAATATTTTGTTCCTGTCAACAGATGCAGTTGATTTCTTCAGGCAGATGTTAACAAGGACAACGATTGCCAACAGATGCAATTAAAAAAAACCCCATCATCTTCATAAATCTCTTTACAGGATCAAGGGCATAGGTTCACAACCACTGGTATGTAGACGATGTTTTTCTGTTAATTACCTTAAGAAAGGTGCTAACTTGAAGAAGGATATGTCCTTCTTTAGATTCTTAACGGGTCAAGGGCAAAGTAAAGCCATAATAAGTTGTTTCAAGTTTCCAAGTTTAATTAGTAGGATAGCATCGTCTACATACCTATCGCTGTGTACTATGTATTATGAAGGAGATAAGTTGATGTTTAAAAGAACTGCTCTGTAGAGATGGAATCTTAAATTTTGCATTACTATATTCATTAATTAAAAGAAATCCAAATCACACAACAGAATACTAGTAATATGAAGAGCAACGTGAAAATAAAGGAATGGTACTGATCACCCCCTCCATTTTACATAAAATAGATAAATTAAGGGAAAAAAATATAAAACCGAGGAAATTCTAAAACTTTCTGTGATATTTGTACATGATTTCACGAAAAATATATATTAAGCATAGTAGCAGGTGTTTTATTAATATGTAATGTTGCATTGTTTTAAGAGGCGCCCAACAAGGACCCAGTCCTTTCTTCTTTTCAATATATTGACTCAATTACAATTCGTAAATTTATTTGAATTAAGCTATGAGATTCACTTTTTACGCCAAAGCTAGACTGTTCTTGTTCTAATGCATATATCCAAACCCCATTCTATTGCAACCTAGTCCCCACTCGAGATTCATGCATGATTATCTTTAAAAGAATATCTTAAATTTAATCCTTGTGGCATATAAGTTTCGTTTGTTTATTGTTGCTTTACGTCCCTCTCGAGAATTTTTCACTCATATGGATTGGTGGCCACTTGCCGGTCGAGAGCTGCAAATATTATCCTACGCTCGGCAATCAGGGCCATTGAGCAGTGAGTGATCTTTTTCGTGCCAGGACCTACTGCGACACGGGGCCTCGGTTTATACGGTCTCATCCGAAGGACCGGTCTCCACGCGCGACGTAAGGATCAACTCTAGAGCAAACGCTCTAACCACTGCAACAAACGGGCTACGGCATATTGGTAATTTTGAAGAGATTTTTATATAACAAAGGTACATCATAGACAGCTAATTATATGCTATACAAACTCCGTATGAGAAAAGTTCCTTCACTGATTTGTGAATAAATGATGTTCATCAACATGAGTATTGTCATATTAAACCATATTGCACGGTTTTTCATTTTTTTTAATTTGAATTTATCTTCCAGTGGCTTCTGTTCGTCCTAGATTTATGTCATGTTAATTATTAATTTGAAATGACAATCATTATAATTTGGAGGAAACCAGGGAACATAAATTATAAGCCTTGATAGCTATTTTTGAAATGTAATGCGATAATCTGTAAAATCCGATACACACGTATGTATAATGAAAAGAACACTCTCAGCAAGGCTTTGTATGCGTTAGATATAAACCTTACTAGATTACATCTCCTTCAGAATATAGTGCTTATATGGTTGATTCAGTAAAATACATGTATTCTACAGATTAACAAAATGTTTTTTGAGCCATAAATGGGAAAACCTATAATTAAAGGTTTTCATGAAAGCAACATTATCTTCTGTGCAAACACCTTTATTTAAAAAAATTCTTCTGTCAACTTGCCAAATAACTCGTACTTTTTATTACCATGAATTCTAATAACATTATTTTTTCCTTTAGAAGAACTATATAAATTTTATGTATTTTTATGGACCATATATTCCTGTAGATTTAGACTGCAAAGAACGTG